TAGTGTCAAAGGCAGTACTAAGATCAAGATGAGAAAGAATTGATATTTTGTTCTCATCCGCCTCACACAAGAGGTCGTTATATATTTTCAATAGCGAAGTTTCTGTGTTATGAAATTGCCGATAGGCAGATTGACATAATTCATATAAATTGAGTTCTTTTAAATGATTCTTCAATTGAACCAAAACAACTTTCTCCAAGATTTTTAATAAAAAAGGAAGGTTGGAGACAGGTCTGAAATTCTTGAGCTCCTCAGGGAAAAGGTTTGTTTTTTTGAGAAGGGGAATAACTAAAGCATGCTTAAAGAGTGATGGTACTACTCCAGATTGAAGAGAAAAGAGGTACAGTGGAGTCCTCTTATAACGAGTCCGGAAAAAACGAGAAGTCTGTTATAAAGACACTATTCTAAAACCCCGTTTCTTTCTCTTCTTTACCTTTGTAAATAAAATACTGCTATAGCGCAATCAAACAAACACGCGAGTCGGTTATAGCGGAATATTGCTGCTGCTGTGTACAGTGCATAGGCCAATTATACATCATGTAAAACCTCGCCAGTTGAGAAACTTGTTGGTGATCTAGCGAAATAAAGAAAGGAAGAGCCAATGAAGGCCGGAGCGACTGAGTAGGTAGGGTGTGGCATGCGCAGACAAGCAGAACGCATCGCATGATAGGCCAGCGTAAGCCTAGTTTAGATTATCAAGGACTACCATGCCTCTCACTTCTCCGATGTGGGGTTGGAGAGGTCACAGCAATGTGATGGATGGAACGAATGAGTGACGTGCGCAATCTGACGGAATGCACCACAGGGTGTGATGGGGTGGGGGACAACACAGCAGGTGAGTTAGCCCAGAGCGCTTTCTTTCTGATCGGCAACGCCGAGCTGTCAACATTGCTAGATCTAGCCCTAGAGAAAGAAACCTGATTCGATTTTTGATCAAGTAAGACCTAGAGGCCATGTTGAAACAAAATTATTATCAGGGGAGATAGCAAAAGGAAATAAACAGAACACCAAACTCATAGATTAAGCCTACTTTACCATTTCCCTTGAATTTATTACTGGATCCCTTAAAGCGAGGATCCTGCTATAACGGACATTTTGCTCCGGTCCCCTCCCTCTCGTTATAACAGGATTCCACTGTATAACTCTGAAAACCCGATACGTTGGTTTCAAAACAGATACAGTATACTATTAATTGTTTAGTACTGGAAACTTTTGTTCCAGAATTGTATTGCAATTACAGTGAAGCTAAAATTATATGATCTATTAATGGGACACTATGCAGGAATGGGTTTAATGTTAATCTGAAGTGTGTATGTGTGTATGTTCATTGACTTATGTGTTAGTGTTGATCTAAAGACCATATTTATGTATGTTCACTAACTTATGTGTCAGCGTTAGTCTGAAGTGTGTATGTATGTTCATAGATGTATGTGTTAGTTTTAATCTAAAGAGCGTATGTATGTATTTATGTTCAGTGACTTATGTGTTAGTGTTAATCTGAAGAGTGTACGTATGTATGTACATTGACCTATGTGGTAGCGTTATTATGTGTATGTATGTTCATTGACTTATGTGTATTGACTTATGTGGTAGCGTTAATCTAACGAGTGTATATGTATATAATATGTTCATTGTTCATTGACTTATGTGTTAGTGTTAATGTGTTAGCGTTAATCTAAAGAGTGTATGCATGTATGTACATTGACCTATGTGGTAGCGTTAATCTAAAGAGTGTATATTATGTGTATGTGTGTTCATTGACTTATGTGGTAGCGTTAATCTAAAGAGTGCATATGTGTATGTATGTTCATTGATTGATGTGGTAGCGTTAATCTAAAGAGCGTATGTATATAATATGTTCATTGACTTATGTGTTAGTAATAATAATAATAATAATAATAATAATAATAATAATAATGAAGATCCTTTCTATAGCGCCCACTCCCGTGTAAACACAGCTCTAGGCGCTTTACATAAATGCTTGTACGAACAATATTTACGCACGCGACACACACACGCACACACACACACACACACACACACTCATTCACACTCACAAACACACACACAAACACACACACACGCTCACGCACACATAACACCCACACATGTGCACAGACATGTACGCCTAACACACACACACACACACACACACACACACACACACACACACACACACACACACACACACATTTACTTGTTTATCACACGCACACGCTTACACATAATCACGAAATGAGCACATACATAATAAAATAATATACGCAATGCAATTCGCAAAATACATAAATGGATACATAGTCATTTTCATAACATTGTACTGAACATGAATCTACTGAAATAAAAATGATGTCATTTAATGTGTCTTTAAATATTTTTAAAAATTTAGACTCAGATGTTGTATGTCTCAAGGGTTGGGGAACAGAGTTCCAAACTGATGGAGCAAGGTGAGCAAACGATCTTTCAGCTAATCTTTTACCCCCTTTTCTAGGAACTCTTAAAAGATACTGATCGCCTGATCTTAGTGATCTAGATGGAATATACATCTGGATGAGATCAGTAAGATATGAGGGAGCTTTGTTATTGACACATTTATGACCTAATAATTGCAATTTTATATGACATTCTAGCTGACACGGGAAGCCAATGCAACGTTCTTAACATGGGAGAAATGTGGTCCCTCTTCTTTTTCTTTTGTACAAGCCTAGCAGCATGATTTTGAAAAGGTTGTAACTTGTGAAGAGTGGTATCTGGTAAGTTAGCTAGTAAAGCGTTGCAATAAGCGATGCGTGAAAACAAGAAAGATGACACGAGCGTTTTCAACGAGTGTTCATTCAAAAACATAGACATAACATGACCAATTCTACGCAATTCACAAAATAAAATGGTACATAAATAATTGATATGATGTTCCATTGACAATTTTGAATCAAAATACACTCCCAGATTTTTTGCTTTATTAGTAAAATACAGTTTTTCATTTTCAGTACAAATATGATCAAAGACCAAATGGATATGGCTTTCCTTTTTGGTTACATAAAATAATTTCAGTTTTATTTTCATTAAGCTGGAGCTTATTATCAACCATCCATTTTTTGACGTCATCAATGCACAGACCCATGGTGGTAAGTGAGGTTTTAACATCTGATTGTGGAACAGATTTATATAACTGTTTATCGTCTGCGTACATGTGATAATTCATATTGTGCGTTCTGATCACAGCTCCAAGCGGCTGTGTATATGATATAACGTATACAACTTTGGACCCAATACTGAACCTTGAGGCACTCCAAAGTCCAGCTTAAAAATTGACGAAAGAGAGTCGTGCACAACCACAGATTGTGTACAAAGAATCAGGTAGGACCTGAACCAGTCAAGAACCCTGCCAGACAGGCCAAACGTGTTGAACAATCGTTCAATAAGAATAGTGTGATCTATAGTGTCAAAGGCAGCACTAAGATAAAGAAGAGAAAGAATTGATATTTTGTTCTCATCCGCCTCACACAAGAGGTCGTTATATATTTTCAATAGCGCAGTTTCTGTGTTCTTTTAAATGATTCTTCAATTGAACCAAAACAACTTTCTCCATAATTGTTGATAAAAAGGGAAGGTTGGAGACATGTCTGAAATTCTTGAGCTCCTCATGGGAAAGATTTGATTTTTTGAGAAGGGGAATAACTAAGCATGCTTAAAGAGTGATGGTACTACTCCAGACTGAAGAGACTCATTAATGATGGAAGTTATACATCCAATGACACTATCAAGATGTGTGATGAGCAGTGGTGTTGAAATAGGATCAAGACTACATGTTTTATGGGGTCATGATATTATGATTGATCTTACATCTTCTTGTGTTACACGAACAAATTCATTAAAGATTACCCCAGAGAATGTTTCAAAACATGGTAGCTTATGGGTAGCCATGTGAATTTTTTTCCTAATTGTGGATGTTTTGTCTCTAAAATATTGACCAAAAACATCAGGAAGGTCACTTTTAGGTACATTCGAGGGAAACTTGCTGCAGGCCGGATCTTTCTTACCAGACAACTGATTTGTTATACAAAATAAAGCTTTAGAGGTGGTAAATTCATTAATTTTCTCGTTATAATACATGAATTTGGCAGATGTTATTAACGATTTCACTTTGTTGTTACAGTGTCTATAAATGTCCTCATGGATTTAGTGTTAATGTGTTAGCGTTAATCTAAAGAGGATATATGGGTATGTATGTTGATTGACTTTTGTGGTAGAGCTGTATTGTAAGGGAGCAGATGCTATAGAAATTTGCTATATCATTATTATTATTATCATTATTATCATCAGTATTATTATTATTATTACTATTATTCCTAATAACATTATTTCTTATTCATTACTGTTATTACTGCTATCATTGTTTATTATTTATTATTGTTATTGTTATAATTATATTTATTATTATTATTATTATTATTATTATCATGATTATTATTATTATCATCATCTTTGTCATCATCATAATCATTATTATTATTATTAGTAGTAGTAGTAGTAGTAGTAGTAGTAGTAGTAGTAGTAGTAGTAGTAGTA